AGTGGAGAGCGCGCGGTGCAAGAGATGCAACATCTACGTCGGAACAACCAACTAATGCGCCATGACAGTTCCGAATCTGAGGCATACGCTAGCAGTCGAGATGGAACATCTACCTCTTCAGCGGAATGCGCCGACATGGAGGCCAGTGGGACAATTGTGCCCGACATGTTTGATGAGGTGAGGTCGCCAGAAAGCTTGAAGCCCCGTGTGTCTGTTCCACCTGTCACTGAGGGTACGCCTCCAACACTCGATCCAACTACCGAAAATGCATTACTGCTTTCTGACTTCCAAGCTCTGCACGTTGATGCTGAGGAAGGATCAGCATTTTCCGTCATCAAACTGCTCAATAATCTGCTTGCTTACCATACAAGCGCTTCAGATGCACAATTCTCATCGCTCCTGCTTCTGTTGATGGCACCATTACTGCCACAAACGCAAAGTCCCTCTGCAGCAACTGCCATCGATGTGGGCGAGGTTCTCACCGCATTTACAGATACCTTCATCTCGCTTGGACTAACTCCCACACAGGCAAAAGCTATCCTTTCAACACAGCTTAGCCAACTAATCGCTGCAGGTATCAATCCTTATCAAGCAGAGTCGATCCTTCACACGTACCATGCGCAGCTGCACAGTCTTTCTCTTTTAAACTCCGCGGCTTCACTTCGTCGACTCGCTTATCCTGCGTACCCTGCCGTCTATGAACAAGCTCTAAAAGACACCCAACTTGGGCTCCTTTGTCTTAGTTGCAAATCGCCCATTAACAATCCAAAAGACAAAATGCGTTGCGAGTCATGTAAACGAGCTCAGGCACCATGTCCGGTTTGCTGGGCAAAGTATCCGGCCTTCGAACCCCTCACCGCAAAGACAAAAGCAAAAGCCAAGTTTCGCTCAAGCTTTAGTGATCGAGGCCACAGAAAACAGAAGTCTTCGATCATTTCAAGTTATGCTCTTGAGTCCGATAACTTTGGAAATGACGAATCACCAACAGTCGCTGTAAAATGGTCGTCGCCTTCCGCAACGCTTTGGACATGGTGCCCCTTATGTGGACATGGTGGGCACACAAATTGCCTATCAACATGGTTTGCCGATTCTGCATCATCAGATGGAGCGTGTCCTACGGAGGGATGTCTGTGCGATTGTGTCGCGGGTAAGCGGCGCGACCAGAAGATGCAGGAAATGCTTCAGAAAAAGGCCGACAAAGATAGGTCAAAGGTTGTTCGCAAGGGTGATGATTGGAAGGTCAGCGAGAGCAAAGCAGTATCGGCAGTTCGAGGTGCTGCTCTCGATGGCGGTACAGATCAGCAACCAGCTAGAACAACAGGCCACAAAGAAGACCATAAACGGGTACGAGTCGTCTCTCCCGAACAGAGTCACAAACTTCCTGGTAGTCAGTTCGGCCCGTCCCTTGGATCAACGTTCGGGAAAGTGCCAAGACCTTGACCAATCGAGTAAGACACCTACATATACAGCCTGTGTCTTCATAAGCACTTGCCTGCACTGCGAAGTCGGATCCTAACATCGAAACATCCAATCGAGACGAGTATTAACATTCCAGTGATAGTGGTGGTCGAGTTCGGCAGCCTTTGGTTTGCGGAGCTGCCCGCAGCTTGCATAATCACACCGCTTCTGTGCGCACCAAGCATCATAGTCACAACATCAAAGTTCACGAATTCCCACCCGCTTCCCCGGATGCGGGACGCTGACTTGAGCTTGGCCACGGGTCTGCCACGTTGTAACGTGCAGAAGGGTTAGCTCGTGTCAGCATATGGTTTAATTATTGTTCGTGTAAGAAGAGAACTGTCCGAGATCAAGGGGATGCCTTGTCTCGAAGGTCTGGCTTGTTGCGACAGTCGTGGCATGGTCGGCGGGGCGGAACCAAATACCATCAGTAATGAATCAATTAGCTTCATGATCACTTTTTCCCTCATAGCCATTTTGCGCAGAGTCCCATCGCCAGCTGCCTGGGATTCTCTACTGCAGCCCTAGGAGTAGTGTAGCGCCACTTTTTAAGCTCGACAGGGACAACTTTCCATTTTTGCATTTCTCCCACATCACTTAGCTCTTTGTGTCGATAACATTTCTGTTGTTGTCATGGCGATTCGTATTCTTAACCCTGTGACCCCGCCACCCAGTGCCTCCGCTGCCAATTTCTACTATCGCAGCTTATCTTCTGATATCACACAACGTCTTCTACCAAACGCTGTGCATGATCCAGTAGCGTTTTCTTAGCACGACTCAGTGTTACCAGATTTCTGGTACATATTGGTACCTCACCTCGCCACGACGCGCAACCTTTTTCTGATCGGTGCGTTGAACATCGGTGTGCTTCACGCACATTCCCATCGCGGGACCGCTAAGCGTATGCCACGCACGGCACTCCTTCCCCTCGATTCCCAGCATTTTGGTCAGTGACGAACATGCGGCTTTGGATGGGGGAAAATATTGGGTATAGTGGGTTTAATGGTGTATTGGTGGCAATGAATCTGTTTGTGAACGGTGTTCAGTTTTGAACACGTTCTGGTAAAGTGCATGAAAATGACCCTGGTGCGGCGAAGTGCAGCAGAAGATGACCCTAAGCAAAGTATAATGACTTTAAAGTCCCAAAGATACGGTCAACCAAAGGTAAAGGCATGAGTCCAAAGTCCCGACCAGGAAGTCAAGTGATCACGCTCATTCAACTACCCCGCGGAACGTGCGTTTTCGTCAAGTGTGATACCACATGAAGCGATACAGGGACGTGATAGGTGCGAGTCGCGCTGATTGGCGAGATGTGAATGAAGAAGAGATCACGAAAACAGTTGTTGTGGAAATTGAGGTGCAGAGGTCTCGCAGATCATTGTTATTGGACGTTCTATTGCATGCGTATTTGGTGATGGGGACGAGGGCCGTTGGACAGATCTCGATCACGGTTCGTGACGTTGAAAGAAGACGTGGCTTATATGTAGAGGCTGAAATAAGACAAGCAAGGTAGAATGACTATGTTTCCATGCAGAAAGCCGTTTACATTGATGGTTGGACGTCAATGTTGCACGAGGCTGGCGCGCAGGCTACATCAATGAAATTAAATACAACCCGTGGCAGATCAAAAGTCCATATGAACCTTGTAGGTACAACAATGCACGAATGTGACACGGCGGCCATGGTCGATGAATGCTCTCTAGCGGAGAGACGCGGGAGACGATGGCTCGCAAAGATGTCCAAGTTAGAGGTACTGAGAAAGTAGTAACACCAATCACTACAAAGCTGAAAAGCAAGTGTGGCTGGATGCCTAATCTGGGCTACATGTATTTCACGAGGCCATTCACGCATCGAGAACCATGCATCACTTTAGACCATGTTTTTGGTGACGATGTGCAGGCCGTTATGTAGGCGTTATTGAATTCGGTGATATTCATGTCTTTTGTCAATTCCTATCCCTCGTGATACCATTGAAGTACGCATGAGCAAGGAAAGGAAGGTCTCGGTCGCCGTAAAATGCATGCCCGTGCCTTCAAGAGGCGGGTTGGTTTCCTAATACCTGCTCTCTGTCAGCTCCTGCCTTTAATTCCAATATCCGGACACCCGCTATGGCGCTTGTGCATGCTCCATACCTCAACTCCATGACCCTGATCGTTTACCGGGACGCGCTCCAGACAGACTTGAGGAAGCCATCTTTCTGTGTGAGCCTGTTGAAGCTGTCGTCGCTCTCGCCCATGGCGCGTACGAAGCCACTGAGGGCATAGACCTGGTTTTCGCCCGTGTAGCGGCCATTCTCATCGACCTTGCCAACGCTGAGCTGGACAGAGGCGTGATCCTTGGCCTTGATGATGCGTCCGGTCGCAGACTCGTAGACATTAGTATCGCGATTCGAGGTTCAGGTATGGGTATCGCGGGCACTCACGCATTTGCGGGGGACGTAGACTGTAACAATGGTTAGCACTCACTTCTGACATTCTGGTATTGTGTGCCGGTGTGTGAAATGGGCTCAATGAGTTGGACGAGGAAGGGGCTATTCTTACGGTCAACGAGCTCGCCGCGTTCGTTCTCCATGGTGACTGATGTATTTAAGACCGCGGGGTGTTCTTGGGTGTGGCTGCGTTGAATAGTCGTTGTCGTCGTCAAAAGGTGTGGAATTTTCGACTGCTCCGTAAGCGAGCCGTGGGGCAAATGCACTAGTCCCGAAACGTACTGGCGCTCCTCGGACTTGCTCATGCAAACAGCGAAACTCAACCACACATCGATTTGGCCAATACTTGATTATCCAGCCCCTCGCTGTAGGATTTGGGTCTTTCGGTTGATCGGCTTGCAGCTTATCAGGCCATTGACCGTGTTGAGCAGGACTGTAATCTCGCAGGCATACTGCTGCGCCCTTTGACAACCCAGCCATGATAGCCGTGCTTGTCCTCAAACGGTGCTCTTGTTAGTATAAGTCCTTATCTCCGCTACACCGAAAGATGTTTTTAGCAGATTTTGGGCGCTATCACCATGTGCACCGTGCAAATGGTCTATCCCGGAGTGCGCTGCCAACCACTTCGGTGACCGTCAAGGCCATACAATTCGAAGATGCGACGTGCTTTAGTGCGCTTTATAGATTATTATTCTACAATCAGCGGAATTCATTCGCTAGGGTCAGTTACTCGTGCCATTAGCAGGTTCACAATAGAGCACAATCCCATGGACAGCGCTACCTTGGTGTATCGTCACCTACGTTGTTAATGGTGCAGCTAGAGGCTAGAAGCTGATAATATTGATTTGCGATCTCTGAGCATAGTTTGGACGACTTTTCTCTCCGCCCAATAGGGTTTGCACATATTCCCTGCAATACTCAAGGTCTTGATAACTCAAGTGATAACTCAGGAAACCGGAGCTCGTTCAAGGGTGATGTGCGAACAAAAATGCTACTGTCATTGTGCAGGGTGGTTTGGCAACCAATGAAACTGGCCTTCCCCTGACCCATCACATACCATCCACCACCAACCTCAAGGGATGTCAACCACACAGAAGCGCAAAAACAAAATACATGCATCGGCCGGGAATCGAACCCGGGGCTAGCCGAATCGACCTTTGATAGGTGGCAACGGCTAATTTTACCACTAAACCACCGATGCAGCGAAATCAATATTAAATCCTTGATGAAAACTCGAGCAAGGTTAGAATTAATGATCCAGAGTTTGAAGATGGAGCAAACCTGCTTAGAACTAACAATTCTTTTGTGTATGAAGAGAGTGGTGTGGTAGAGCCATCTAATGTGAAAAAAAAAAAGTGGGTTGGGTATTCCGGCTCACGTCTCGCTTGAAATTTTACCGTTTCCTGAGGCAGCACACGTGCATACGAGAATATTTTCAGGGACTAAATCGCATGACTTTAGTACACAGTTGAAACCGGACGTCGTCAAAATGAACTCTTCCCTGTTGGGTCCTTCTTGATCCTCACCCAGCGCTCCTGCTTCTCTACCCTCTCCAACCACGCGCGCACATTTTCGTCAACTCTGAAACCAATTGCCTCCGCCGCGCTTGTATACGCGTAAAGACTGATATCTGCGATGCTATGACTGTCTCCGACGAACCAGTCTCGTCCAGAGCCGAGGTGCTTCTCCATAACGTCGATTGCGTCTTGCCCCCTCTCCTTCAATCTTGAAACCTCCCGTTCAGAAATATCTTCGAAGCCACCGGGCGCCCAATATTTGCGATACTTCCAGACTGCCACATACGGTTCATGCGAATACTGCTCAAAAAATAACCACTGGAGCACCTTTGCCCGCTCAAACTTTCCTTCTGGTAGATATCTTGTACCTTCGGCTAGAAAGAATAGAATGGCATTTGACTCAGCAAGGACAGTGTCATCATCGAGAACAAGTATTGGTATGCGTCCATTGGGATTCAAGTTTAGGAATGCCGGGGCCTTAGTTTCGGGTGGTGATGCAAGGATGTCTAGGCTTGTACTATGATAGGGTAGGTTCAGGTACGAGAGGAGAAGTTGGACTTTGTAGGCATTGCCAGAGGGAATGGTCGAATCGTAAAGATGCATCATGAATATTGTTTGAAAGTTCTTGTCGTGGGGCGTGTATGCGATGAGAATTCTGACGAATTGATTGTCCGTGTTCTTACGGTGGTTCCAGGACTTTGTATGCGATATCCTTTGTCTTGTGCACGCCCTATGATTGACGAGGCTTGGCAATTGTTTTCGAAGGCGAACCGTACGCCCGAATCTGTGCGGACAAAATCTGACCATCGACTCTTCGCTCAATACCCCTCATCAGCCGGTCCATACCTTTCCTAAGGCTACCACCCACTACTGGTTGTTTTCCGTTCGCTAATGTGAAGAGATTTCGCTCATGATCGGAAGTAGAGACAGGAAGTGCCTGAGAGAACATCCTCAGCAATTATATCAGAAAGCGATGAACAGAAAAGCTTGGCTTGGAAGGGATTGTAAAAAGGACTGCTTCGATGTTGAATGATGAGTTGAAGATCATGAAGAGGGTGCAGCTTGCATATTAAATAGCAAACGGCCAGTCACCTTATCATTGTATTACGCGTATTACAATTGGCGATTATCTGACATAATATGGACTCTCTTACCGTGCCTCGTAGTTGTATTAATTTGTCGTCGTCGCATGTGGCGCAGAGAGTCGTCACCACAGGCCTACCGAATCGGATTACGGCTTGCTCGGATCCGGTCCGCATGTTCCGGACAATGCAACGGCGATCCGAGAGAAAGAATCCAAGTCGTACGCAAGACTGACAATCTTTCTTAGTTTTGGCATGCGCAGCCTCAGTCTCCTCGCATTGATGTACACTTTTGGACTGCTGAGCGAGTACCGTAGTCCAATCGAGAAGTCTTGTGGCTCATGGAGGGGGTTGCCACGCCACCAACTCGAACAAAAGTGCCAAAGCGGGTCGCATCTTTCACTAAATTAGACGACTTTAATTCCTGAAGCAATCGCATGGTTCACTTGATGCTCCGGGTGCAAGTGCTTGTCGAGCCCTTGTCGTAAGTAGAGCCCTAGATGAACGTGTCGACCAATGGACATACCGCGTTGCTCTGAGGCAGGTTGAGGCGCAAGACATTGTACAGTATGCGTGTGATACATCAGTAACTGGTTCTGTCATGGTCTATGGCTGTATGTCTTGTTAAAGTCATTTCATCGTTCTCACTGGATCTCTGCTGATCATTGTTTTTCTCTCTTGACCGCTATGCAACTTATTTTAAGACGCCTTGATAGTATTCTAAAATGTCCAATCGTCACTATCCGGAAACACATATCATCATTAAATTTTCCGGGCATTCGCGATCGGTATAATTGTTGCCACCACTGCAATTACCTTCAACAAAGCCCGTGTCGAATCCTCGTTGTCATTCTTAGGTCAGATAGAATCAACAATTGATTTGACAGACTGCAGACACTTTGATCGTGGCACAATTTCAATACCTAACGATTCATTATCTATCGCAGAACATATCTCGATGATATTTTGTTGCGCATCATTATTGATGCCTTGCAATCCTTCACTATCAAGCAAAAAACTTGTTGCTGCTTTTTGTTCTAATAAGAGTTACTGGTTTCCTTATAATAGTTATAAATAGCAGTGCAACTATTAAAGCCTACATCAAGCAGGTTGGCTAGTCAGTTTTATACCCTAGTATTTTTCCACAATCCTAAATTTTCGCTAACATAAAGTGATTTCCACTTATAGTAACAATGTTAGAATTATAACCTCTATATTTAATTAGAAGTTTTAGTAACTATTGAAAGATGCCCTTCGAAACCTCGAAGAGGATCCATAAGCTAATATTACTTACTACTGTACCATATAAGGCTAGGGAATTATCTTTGGCTTATGTATGCGGAAAGTAGTTATGTACGTCTTTCTAATTTGTAGTGGATTTTGGAAGTAGTAAGTGTGTAGATATGTCTTTTTAAACCGAAGTTGGCTTAGTGTTAGGAATCGGCAGCGTGTTAATGGTCCGATTCATTATCTATGCTATATAAATCCTCTGTACGTCACTTATTACTAGAGGCACTAGTATCATAATTTAAGTTTGTGCTCCGCCAATAGGACAGAATCAGATCGAGGTGCAAGACCAATGAATGTTACATATATTATCAATATTTATAGTCTGCACTAAGGTTTTTTTTTGGATCGTCAATGGGTTCTTTTTTTGGGTCTTCGTTTATGTGTGTAGAACACTTTCAAAGATCTTATGCTTTCCGGGAAGGTTGCGGAAATGCATCGACATATTCTCGTGCTACACAACCTATCTCAAGCCTAGTGGTACACTGAGCTATTTACCTTCACTTGTGTCCACGAAGACGCTCCTTGTCGAATAAGGCGTGGCGCGGGTCTTTGGTTTTGTTATATTCTGGCCACGACTTGGCGATATCGTTCAGCTGGTAATTGATCCATGGTCTACGTCAATCAGCCGTCGAAGCATCCATAGTAACTTCACCCCAACTTACGCAATAACCAAGCCAAATTTTACATCTCTCAGACCCCCGTGTTTTCGGCATACTTCAATTGCTACGCAAATGTAGTCTTCAGGCACGAAAAGCGCTAACATTACCTCTGTCAATTGGGGCAACTTCGAAAGCCAAGCCAGCTCTTCGAACAGGTGAACAAGACATCGCGTCTCTTCCCCAGAATAAATGTCTTCTATCATCCCCGCTTCGGTCAAATTATTGTTATTGTAAACAACGTGGCGTAAATAAACCTTATGGAGTGATAACGGAAGTATTGAGAGAGTTAGAGTGCCACTTCTATCGGAAGTAGAGTATGGAAGAAGACAATTGGTATCCAGCCTTAATTTCCTTAGTTTTGACCGGTGCAAGGTATTGTTTGCATCGAATACCACGCTGATCACTTCGTCCATGCCAACATATGCACTGAGGATGCCTTCACAATGGTACCAGAACTCAAACCCTCTCAAATTAGTTTGGAAAGCGCTGCTAAAAGCGTACACCAGGTAGCGGAAGACAAAGCCATCTAGCTCACACTTGTGGCCTCCATTGTCAGATCCGAAAATTTCTAGGTATTCCAGATTTGGGAAACAGCCTGTCAACTTGGGGATGTCATCACAATCCTCCCACGGGTCATCGTTCGGTTCGGCAAATGAGATACAAAGAGCCTTGATGGAATGGTTGGTGAAGCACCACTCGATTTCATCTTCACCATTCATACGCGAAGGTGTAATATTACGCAAGAAGAGCTTCGTAATTGATGCCAGATGTAAGAATGGAATCCAAGTACGGCCCCTAAAGGATTCCACGTTAATATCTAGGACGTGAAAATTTCGTAGTTCTGGCAAGATGTCTATGCTGAGTGCTTGGTCTGGTTCGCCCATCAGTTGTAGGTTTTGGGTGTGGCTGAGCAATGTAGGCCGTGCATGCGCAGTTCTTAAAAGCTGAAATTGATTGCTGGGCTGTAGTTTGAGAGTGTGATATAGATGTGGCTCTGTGATGCGGTGCAGCCTATGTGATACCAAAGACATGCTCAGAAGAGCTTGATGATCGGGTTGATCGCGAACCCCAACCATGCGCTTCAGAAGAGAGACCACATGATCGAGAATTTCCTCTGAAAGCGAATCCATGGATCTGCCGGATGGCGGTCGCACTACAGGTATACAGGTGCTAAGAAGTGAGGCACAGATTTGTTGGATGGTGATGCGTATCTACGTGTCTCCTTGACACTCTATCTCCATCGGTCGGTGGGTGATAAATCTCAAAATTGGAGCATTCGCACGTGATTTGTGTCACCATACGAAGCCCAGCCTCGCACGGGCGAGCCTGAGCGAGACTTGACTTCGAGGCTTTCGTACGCGTTGGTCTTAGTAGGGTCACTTTGTGACTGTCCTTGATAAGCATTAAGAATTATACTCTATTTGTAGGAAAAGGTGATTTTGATTGGAAGTAGAGGCATAATATTTACTTTCTACCATTGTAGTGAAGCTTCGAGTTGCTCAAATGCTCAGACTTCGGAACAGGAAAATCGACAGCAATCACTCAATCACCAATCACCCTCAGATGTACGATAGCTGCCATTGATTATCAACCATGTCGTTGGGGCGAATCGTAATCTTACTCTGATGATGATCCCCAGACTGTTTTCTCAGA